ACGCGAAACTCCCCTCTCTCCACTCGTTACTCACTCCCTCCCTCCCCCTGAACCGCGCTCACCTGGGAAATGAGCCAAAGCTCAGCTACATCTCCATCTCCCCCACACTCAGCCCCGCACCGCCATTTTCCTCACTGACTGGATTTAAATCGGGACCGGAGCGGAGACACCAGGCGGCGTGAGGTATTGTGGGACCTGTAGTGCGACTCCGCGCGGGCGTTCACGGGACCCGCGCGGGAGTTCATGGTACTTGTAGTTCGCGCCGGGCTCGCTGCCGGCGCCGCCAGGCTCAGCCTGGTGCCCGCGCTCCGGTATCGCCTTGCATCGCCGCGGTCTCTGCAGTAGGGCGTGCTCAAACGGCGAGGAGAAAGCGGTCCCAGAGAGGAAGCTGCCTGTGCCGTGCACCCCCCGGCTCGTTCCCGCGGCAATTGCTCCGTGCTTCTGGAGGTCACAAAATGCCGTATCTGTATCATTAGGAGCGTTCTACTGCGCACTAAAGTTCAAAATACAGTGCGGTACCGGCCTTGGATCGGGCCATGTCTCCCTGTTTCTGCTGAACTCCAGCTGTGGGTACTGATTGTATGTCTGGTCCTATAGTCATGGTTCTTAGGGAGTTTTGGTTCTTGATTTCTTTGTGTGCAGTGTGTGTTTATACATGTTGGAGCTGCTCTCCCTGCAGCCACAGCCATGAGAGAGCAGAATAACAAAAAAAATCGTTTTTCGCGTTACTCTTAAAATTCTCACAATTTACACGGGGTTTCACTGACATGCCAGTGAGACGTGCAGCACCATCGAGAAGGCTGGAACTGTCGTGGTCGGTCTTTGAGCACAGATTCTGATCACAATACAGCTGTGTTCTCCAGCCGCACAGGGTGATCTCCCTGCAGGAGCATCACAGGGAAGTCATGAAACACCCGGCATTGGCTGGAGCGCGGGAACAGATGAAGAATAAGGCAGAGAAGAGCACGAGAGGAAGACGAGGCACTATCCTCGGACACACTGTCCTTTTGCTGTGGGGCAGCTGCCAGCCTGTGAGACGGGAACTGGGGAGGAAGTTAAAACATTGGGGGGCTGGCTTCCCTTTATTTTTCTAGAAGATGCCCCTTTTGGAGGGGCGAGTTACATATGTAAATACAATTATTAAAGCAACGTGCTTCTGTCCGGGGCTGCTGTCCAGGGTAGTTTGGTTTGGTTTTGCCTTCTTTGGGGACAAGTAAGAAGGGAGGGAATTGCAATCTGCGGGTAATGATGTCATTTCGGGCACCTCAATGTCACTTGGAGAGTGAAGATGCAGTGGAGGAGAAGGTGAGTAGGGTATGACAGGGGTTAGGGAGTGTCCTTCCCAAAAAGGGAAGTTACAGCCCAAAATTGCTTGGAAGTTTAGGGGGTGTGTTTGTGCAATTTGAAAATTGTAGCTTCTGCTCTCTCTCTCTCCCCCTGTCTATATATATGATACATTATGCACTGGAATTTCTGAGTTAATGTTAAGTCATGCCAGATGATTTTTATAAGGCTAAATTCCAACAAATCTGTACAAAAACCCAGAAGCACTGAAGCACAAGAAGCTGTGCTGCAGGACGGTTCACGCACTGAAATCACTGTAGGCCTGTGACATTGATGCTGGGGCAGAGTATTCTGACTTAAAATGGGACTTGATGTGAGGAGCAAAAAGGGAGCTGTAACATTATGCCTGAAAACCCTGGTGATGCCGGGATATTGCCAGCGTCTCTGATGGCCACTGTAGGGCTGGAGCCAAAATCAATGTGGGGCTAAGAAATGGACTGCAGGGCTGGGATCCTGAGGGAAAATGGAAAAGAAACTGTAAAACTGAGAACGGGACTGTGGGCATTGAGGTGAAATGATGCAGGGATAGTGACTGGGGACTTGGGCGGGAGCTGAAATCACTGAGGGGCACCTTCCCTCCGCTTGGAACAGGTGAGAGATGGAACTAAAGCCCAAAGGATTTTCTGCTCAGTGATTATACCTGAGTTTTATTGGGAACTCTCTGGGAAATCTGACACATTGTTCTGGAATGTGGCCATGAGGGTAATTGAGCGTGCCAGTGCTCATCGGCAAACTTGCAGTGCCAGAGCGAGAACCTTCGAAATGTAAACCGGGCTTTATTCAATGGAATCCTGACTGTGTGCTGCGCCCAGGTCCTTTGTACAAATAGCGTATTGGTGGGGGGGGGGGGGGGGGGGGGGGGGGGAGTGGGGTGGGGGAGCCAGAACTTCACATTCCTTGTGATATGTATGGGATTTTGGGGGAGTTAAATAAAAAGGAGATGCAAAATGAGGGAATTGCTTTTACATGTAACTGTTCTTGTCCTAAAGGAGCCATCAGCTGAGTCACGGGGGTTGAGTTACAGGTCTATGTCTTGAAAGAGCCGCAGGCCTTTTAGGGACAGAAATTTGTGTCGTGTGGAATGAGCTGCTCTCAGGAAATCTGTGAGCCGAAGGGAGCCGAGGCCGGGCGAAGGGAGCCGAGGTGTGGGGAATGGGCGAATGGAGGCGGGTGTAGGCGATAATAGGCGAGCGTAGCCGAAAATAGCCGAAAGTGACCGAGGAGCCGAGTCCAGCCGGACCGAGCCGAGCTCTGCCGACCGCAGCATCCCGGGCAGGGCGGGGCGCCGGGCCGGAGCCGGGGCGCTGTGAGGCTCCCCCTCCTGTCCCTCTCTCTAGCGCTCCTTCCTCCTCCCCCTCCCCGTATTCCCCTCAGTTATCTCTCTTTCCCCCGTTTCCATCTCCCCCTCAAACCCGGCTCATTCCTGTCCTGTCCCTGCCCCGCTACTCCGTTCTATTCCCCCTCTCTCCCTCCTCTGTCGAACGTCCCTCTTCCCTCCCCTGCCGGCCTTTAAATCCGAATTATAAATCCGAATGTGAATATAAATATGAAAAATATAAAAATAAAATATATTTAAATGCAGTTTAAAAGAAAAGGTTTTTTCTTTTGGTTCTTATTGGGTTAGAGGCAGGGGTTTTTTTGTTGGCGTTCTTTTCCGCGCGGGATGTTTTGGGGCATTTGCTGCAGAGGTCGTTCCGGAGGGGATCGCGCCCGTTCTTTTCTGCCGCCGGCCCCGCCCGCGGCCCCGAGGCGAGCGGCGGCCCCCGGCGGTGGCGGGCGGCAGTGCTGCCGCCTTGTGGGCAGAGGGCGGTACTGCAGCCCGCCGCCCGCGGCCGCCATCTTGGGAGTGGCTTGTCGCAGACTCGCTTGACCTTCTCAAGAGGGCGCGAAAAAGAGGACGTTGGCATTCGAGGACCCGTGTCTGTTTTCTACACTGCCTGAATTGTCCCCAACGCCGGCGCCCCCCGACGGGATTTTCTGCTGCGGTTCTGGTGTCGTGCACACGGGCTGTGGGGTCAGCAGCACCGCAAGCGTGCCGGTTTTTGGCGAAGGCCGACAGGCATCGGCAAAAACGCCTGTCTCCATCAAGGTCCCCACGGGCCGCCATCTTACGAGTGCCTTGTCGCGGACTCGCTTGACCTTCTCAAGAGGGCGCGAAAAAGAGGACGGTGACATTCGAGGACCCGTGTCTGTTTTCTACACTGCCTGAATTGTCCCCAACGCCGGCGCCCCCCGACGGGATTTTCTGCTGTGGTTCCGGTGTCGTGCACACGGGCTGTGGGGTCAGCAGCACCGCAAGCGTGCCGAGTTTTGGCGAAGGCCGACAGGCATCGGCAAAAACGCCTGTCTCCATCAAGGTCCCCACGGGCCGCCATCTTGGGAGTGGCTTGTCGCGGACTCGCTTGACCTTCTCAAGAGGGCGCGAAAAAGAGGACGTTGGCATTCGAGGACCCGTGTCTGTTTTCTACACTGCCTGAATTGTCCCCAACGCCGGCGCCCCCCGACGGGATTTTCTGCTGTGGTTCCGGTGTCGTGCACACGGGCTGTGGGGTCAGCAGCACCGCAAGCGTGCCGGTTTTTGGCGAAGGCCGACAGGCATCGGCAAAAACGCCTGTCTCCATCAAGGTCCCCACGGGCCGCCATCTTACGAGTGCCTTGTCGCGGACTCGCTTGACAAGTGCTGCCGCCTTGTGGACAGAAGGCGGTACTGCAGCTCCCCAGCCAGCGCGCGGCCAAAAACCACCGAGACGGCGCGGGCGGGGCCAGAGCGGCCCCAAATCCACCGAGATGTGGCGGAAGCGGCCAGAGCGGCCCCAGAAACCAGCGAGACGGGGCCGGAGGGTCCAGAGCGGCCCCAAAACCACCGAGATTTGGCGGAAGCGGCCAGAGCGGCCCTTTAAAAACCACCGAGACGGGGTGGGAAGACAATGGGCGGGAGCGAGCGGCGAGGTGTGTGTGAGTAGAGGGGAGAGGTGAAGGCAGCTCAGCGGCCCCGCCGGAGAAGGATGGCAGCGGCGAGGTCAGCCCGGTGGGGCCGCTGTCGGGGCGGCGGAGGCGTGGTCGCAGCGCTGGCGGGCTGGGGGCGAGCGGCGTCGTAGCAGGGCTGCGCCCCCTTTCCCGCCCCCCCGCGCGCCCCTCTCGAGACGCCGGGAGCGGCCGCGTGCCGGAAAATCCCGCCGGGGCGGCGTGCGGGCGGCGGAGCGGGGCCCTGGTATTGCCCGCCCATCCTGCCGCCCTCCTTGGAATGGTTTGAGGCATTATGGGTTTATTGAGGTAGGAATAATTATTTTGTTGTTGTTAATTTAAGGTTTTGTTTGTTTGTTTGTTTTTTTCATTTGATGTATTTGGTTTGTAGAGCAGGAACTGTAGACAGAATCCCGCAGAAGTAGTATGGAAATTGTCCTCCTAAAACCCGCCCGGCTTCCAACCACTTTTAGCACGTGGTCTTCCTTAGCAGCACATGGTTCCCCTACGCTTGAGAGCCGGTGCACTTACTTTTCTCTCTGCCTTTGCCGACAGATCCTGCTGAAGCTGAGGACAAAGCCCTACCCCTACACGGACGAGGCAGCAGACCTGGTTCAGGAAGCCGGCGTGCTCCAGGTTGCTACAGGACTCTAATTACATCAGCATCCCTGTCTCTCACATTGATGGTATGTGGTAACCCCTTAAAAACGGAATTCCACGACTTGGGGCTACATTTTCTAACACTAAGCAGGAAACTGGGGATAGATAACTCTAGAAATCCTGTTATGTAAGGACCTCCAGGATTCAGCCCTCCATGTGTCCTTGGTATCAGAAGTTGGAATTGCAGAGTTGCCACTTTACCCCCAAATGTAATTTTTGATGTGGTTGTGCCACTTTAACAGTATTTGAAATCTCTCTTTGTGCTCTTGCAGCAGCATTTTTGAACTACAATTGAAATTTAGTCCTTCTGCCTGGAGCTGTTCATAGAATCGTGGAATCCCAGAAGGGTTTGGATGGGAAGGCACCTTTTTTTAAAGCTCATCCTGTTCCACCCCCTGCCATGGGCAGGGACACCTTCCACCATCCCAGGGTGCTCTAAGCCCTGTCCAGCCTGGCCTTGGATACTTCCAGGGAACCTTCCAGGGAACCGGGGGCAGCCACAGCTTCTCTGGGCAACCTGTGCTGGACAGCAGTATTGAAAGGCAGAGTGAAGTACAGCTGTGATTTTTGTGCTGCCCTTAACATTGTATTGCCTGACAAATGTGCCTTTGGGTTTTTTGGTTTTTTTTTTTTTTTTTTTTTTTTTTTTTTTTTTGTTTGTTTTTTTTTTTTTTCATTTGTTTTGTTTTTGGTTTTTTTGGGGACTAAAAAGATACCTTGTGTTTCTGGAATGTTGCATTCTGCCTCTGTTGTTTTCCCAGTTAATCTGGATCCTCTGCTTACATTTTTTCCTTCACTTATTAGATGTTGTGGATATGCTGGCTGTTCTGATGGAGGGCTGTGATAGCTTAGATGAAGAAATTGGGTTCTCTTTAAATGAAGATGTGATTATCCAAACATTTCCCTTCGTTGCTTGTTGTCCCTGCTGCACTAGAAGCCAGGAATATACTGTTGCTTCAGTCTGAAAATGGAACAGGTACAGGGTTTTTTTTTATGTTTTATGTGTCATTTCTAGCAGTGGAGTGAAAGTGGCATCATTTCTACCCACTTGTAATAATTTTTTACCATTTATCACTTTTTTCCTTGAGGCATTTTATTATCTTCCCTGCAAGCAGAAGGAGGTGCAGATTCATGGTGTTTTGTGCTCAAGAGGGGCATTGAAGCTCTGTAGGTGCTTCTGCCCTTTTTCCCTGACCCTAAAGAGAAGGGACGCTGTCCCTGCATGGACAGTCTTGGTCTGGAAGTAGTTGGCTTCAGTAACACAGTGTTTTAAGGGCAGAGCGTGGCGATCAGGAGAGGAAGGTGGTTCCGTTCCTGTAGGCAGCTCTTCCTGAGACCAGGGAGAGGGGACTGCATTGTAAAGTAGGAAGTAGATGCGTTTCCCAAAGAAAACCTCAGAAATTAAGCTCTAGGGGCAAACACTGCGAGCTTCTATCACCTCCTTGAGGAAAGCGTTAAAATCACAGGGGCATCAGCAGGGCTTGGAGCAGGATTGGCCAACCCCACAGCACCTCACGAAGCCCTCTGTGTGTATGTGGCAGTCGAGTAGCACCTGGGGTGTACTGAAAGTCCCAGTTCTGACAGAAAATTCTGTTTAACTTGTACACGTTGGCTGGGTGTATCTCCCCAGTACAACTCAGTTCTTCTCTGAGGTGGTGCCTGGCAGGGTCTCTCCCTGTTAAGAGATGGGCATGTTTTTAGCACAACACAATGAAGGTGAATTATTTGCTTCAGCAAGAGCTGAAGCAAGTCTGGAGGGTTTTTCAGGTACCTCGGCGGTCAGGAGCACGTGTCTAGGTCACTACAAACACTTTTTGATCTCATTCAGTTCTTTTCTGTGTGGTGCTCTGTGGGCTGCTGCCAAGGCCCAAAGTAAGAAAGGCTGCCTCAGTGTCCGTGCTCATGTCTATAGTTTAATTTATTTGGCTTTTCTAGGAGCAGACCTCGTGGAGTACCTTGGTGCTGTTTTCACTGACCTCCTGTGCTCTCCGAGAGAACCCCTTGCTCTCTGCTTGACGTTCCAGCTCTGTGACAAAGATCTCCAGTCCCTGAAAGCTGCTAAGTATCCTCAGCTCTACCAGTTTAACCGATACTATAGACTCTGGATGCCCAAGCAGTGCCAGGAACCTGTGGTCTGGAATCCCCGAAGACACTGAATTCTTGAGCCAGTATTCCTATAAAATCCACACAGTCGACAGAGGTTACGTTTCCATCAGAAACAGCATTTTTATTGAGGAGGCAATTCTGCAATTGATCATGCTGGGGACACACGTTCTCTCCAGGGCTTTTCTCTGATGACACAAGGGGTCTTTATGGTGTTTGGGAGGCGATACCAGGGCTCAGGGCTCATACAGAGACTCCTCACCAGGCACAGCAGAGCCTGGTGTGTGCTGTGGCCTCTGTTTACAGTGCTCGGAGTTCCCCCGGGTGGGTGGAGGATCACAGGCCCCTGGGCTGGGTTTGGTGAGTTTTTCTCAGTTCAGCAGTGTGAACACTCCAGATGCCCCTGGGAGCACTGCTGGACAGCTCTGTTCTAGCAGGACTGCACGCTTGTGCCCCCAGAGCTTCAGTTCAGAGCTCATCTCAAAACAAAGGTGGCTGAAGAGATTTTTGTTTTATACTCATCACTGCTTTTCTCCTCTGCATTTTGTTTTGCTTTTAAACAGTTTGGAAACCACAAGGAGGTAAGCCAAGAGCCTCCTGTGGCACCGGATTCTGTATTTGCCACTTTGCTGAAGGGAGCCTGGGAGAGGGGAAGCAGTACCTTCCTGGAAGATGGTGTTCAGACAAAGTGGAGAGACTCGGCTTCCTGGCTCCCCCCACCTGAGCAGCTTTTGTTGGGAGTAAAGCACGTTCTGCTGTACCCGAAATCCACAGTGGAGAACTTCAGCAGCCTAAGAGCAGCATTGTAATAATACTGTAGTTATGCTTGGTTTATTTTATGGTAGGAGTTGCAAATGACTTGGCTGCTAAAATTTAGGTTCCAGTGCTGTAGCTATTTTTTCTCTACTCAGCTCCAAGGGTACGCAGCACCGTACAAAACTGCGCCTGATTTGTAAACAAATGTCAGTTGTTCTGATTATTGAAGCCAGGCTTTATTCAGTTGAATCCCGACTGTGTGCTGCGCCCAGGTCCTTTGTACAAATAGGAACATCGAAGGATAAGTCCCAGACAGGAGCTGCCCTCACCTCATACTTGTGCTGCCCTGAGAGTCCCAGGGGAGCCCTACAAACTGATATCAGGAACCTGGACTGGTGAGTTTTCTTTCCCAGGGAAAAGAGCCGATGTTTGCGCTCCGAGTCCTGTGGACCTGAGCGGGCAGCTGACTGCAAAAAATCTGAACATCGAAGGATAAGTCCCAGACAGGAGCTGCCCCCACCTCATACTTTTGCTGCCCTGACAGTCCCAAGGAGCGCAAGTATGAAGGGGGCACAGCCGATGTTTACGGCACATGCTTCCATGGTCAGATTTTGTGCAGTCACTTATCTGCTCAGGGCACTGGGCCCTGAGTAAAAACTTTGGCCGTTTACCCTGGGATAGAAAACTTACCTGTCCTAGCTCCTGGTCTCATTTTGCAAGTTGTGCTTGGGATTTTCAAGGCAACTTGTTAGCGACTTGGCGTCAGCTTGGGTCCACGACACATCTTTCTCCATTCAGATTTTCATGGGGCAGTCATTCTTTCATGGCCCCTGGCTCTTAGTCTGCATCAATGGCCCTTTTCTCTGTGAAAGATGGCTCACCCTCTATTCTTCCTGATGTCAGTTTTACTGTGGTGCTTGTCTCTTCCAGGGCAGGCTGAATTCTTGCTGGCAGCAGTTTTGCTCCAGGATAAATCCTGTGCCATTCGGAACGAGAAGATGTAGAAAGTCACTTGGCGCCACAGGCCTCGTTATCCGATCTCTGCCCTTTTTCCCTGTAAATCAAGCTCACCCTCCCTGTGTGTTGATGTCTGTTCACTGGAGGCATGCTGCTCTCCAAGGGCAGCGAGAGTTCCTGGTGTTGGCAGCTGTGGTCTGTGAGAAAGCGTTCACTGTTTGCAAATTTGGTAGCACAATTCCTGTTTGGCTAGGGGAAAGACTGTTAATTATCTTGGAAATGAAAGTCTGGCACCCCGTTTTTTAAGGGTCTGACAAAGGGCTGTGTAGGGGAGGGAACACCCTGCAGAACCTTTCTTTACCTCATTCCTCACTCCTAGGTGTAGCAGCTCCCCATGTGACCAGCTGCTTTCAGTGCAGCTACCTGGACACACCTGCACAGGGAGCTTCTAATCCAGAGGAGCTAACAGGGGTATCCTAGGTGTTCCTCCAGGAGCTATGGTTGGAACATCCAGCAGGGACTGGGGAGCAGCCAGAGCCACCTGGGCATGGAGCATCCTTTTCAGAAAATGCCAAGGGAAGAGCCCTCTTGCCAAGGGGCAGCACCTGAGCAGGCTGGGCAGCATGTGGGGTTCCATGGGAGAGCTTTCAGCTTTCCCCTTCTATTGTGTCAGCCCCTCCCTAGAACCCCCAGATCTTCCAAAGCACTCCCAGAAAAGAGGGGGGTTATGAAGAGAGAAGGGGTTTAAATTATGGGAAAAAGCTTCCTTTTCCATTATTTCTTGTGTTCAAATCATGAGGGAATCCACTTCCCCCGCAATTTTAATGGTCTCAGTTGATATAGTCCCTGCCTTTTCTATGCTGTTAGGGGTGTCAATTGACAGGGAATCCCCATTTTCCATTATTTTCCAGTTTAAATAGAAGGGGAAACCTTGACAATGCTTTTTATGGGCATGAATTAAGGGTAACCCTTTTTGTTGTCCTAAGGCTTAAATTGAGGGGGAAGCCCAGCTATCCCTCTTTCTTAAGGGTTTGGATTGAGGGGAAAATCCCTGTGTCTTCATCACTGGAGAGACTTAAAGTGAGGAAAACCTCTCTTTTCCCAATATTCTAGGGAATTAAACTAAAGGACAGAAGCTATTTATTTGCCATTGCATCCCTTTCAGTGGAGGCAACTTCCCTATTTCCTCATTTTAAGGAATTCACTTGAAGGAGGCTCTTCTAGAATGCTTTTTCAGCATTTTAAGGGTTTAAAACTACTTTTCAGGGCACTTCTTTCTGTGCCCTAGGACTAAATATCTCAGGGAAAGGCAAGCCTAGCATGTACTTAACCTTGATGCTGCCCAGGAAGCTATTTTTTTTCCTTATTTTTATTTATAATGTAGTTAGTCCTAATTAGTAGCCCCAAGGAGACTTGGACTGTTCATAGAATTAGTATTCTTCTCCACCCTTAGTCTCATATTGAGTACTACTTAGTAGTCACCGAGGAATAATATAAGTTAACAGCAAATTACCCAACTTATTTAGATATGCTGCCTAAAGAACAAAGTTTTATTTCTTACCAGTTTCCTTGCCCTTTTGCTCCAAGTAGTTGTAGCAAAAAAGAAAGTGCTGTTATTTCCCTGAAGAGTTTTCTTCTATATGCATCCCATTACTCCCCTTGAATTCAAATCAGAGGAGCCAAACACCTGTAGCTGCTCTGAGGGCTTTTATACCCAGTGGGGTTTGGCCCCTCCCTTTTCCTGGGTGTCATGGGAAGGAGAGGCAGACCAAATCAGGGGTATATTAACCCCAGCCTTTGCCAAGGGGTTTCATTCCCTCTCTGGGATCCACTGGGGTAAGAGCTCTCCTCTCATTTTTGTGAAGAGGCTCTTTCAGCTTAGCTTATTCTCTGTAGGTGCTTTTGGGCTTCTAATGTAACAGAGGCTTTGAAGATACTGTGAAGAAAACAACACTGAACACAGGGAGTATTTAATTTCATGATTTGGGGTTGTGCATTCAGGGGTGGTGAAGTGCTTCTGTAATCTCTGACATGTTTTGTTTTGTTTTGTTTTTAGGAGGAGTGCAACTTCCTGTAATTCCAGGTTGTGTCACGTACAACATTTTTTCGGCAGAGTGATCATGTTCCAAAAGGGATCTGCCCTGTGTCAAAGATTATGTCTGAGATTGAGGCTTCAGGTGAGTTGAGGATTGTGACTAGGAGTGAGAGAGTGAGCAGGGTACCCAGTTAAGAGTTATCATGGTGGGGGTTTGCAGGCAGTAGGGTGAGACATGGTGTCTGTTTGCAAGGCTTTTCACAAGCATAGGGGAGGCATCCATGTGTCATACAGTGCACAAGCTCATCCACTGAACTCACAGAAATGCCCTGTAACTTTGCCTCTCTAAACCAGGTGCCACTCATAATAACAGCCAAACCTTAGACTAGGGATGGAGCTGGAGACTTGAGCACCCAAGCACACTCAGGAAAGGATAAGTATCTGACTTGCTGGGATTTGGCCCACATAACACTAAACTCAACCACTGATTTTCCTGTTCTTTATTCTAGCTGACTAAGAGGCTAACAGGCGATCCCCTCCGAGGCAGACTCATTTCAGGTCCAACGTGGATTTGCATTTCCAGTCATCCAAAAGATAAGTCAGGGCCATGGCCTGAGGATGGGAGCAGTGGCCTCCTTCTGCAACAATGGGGATTTGCATCCCCAGATATGTGCAAGATGAGTCAAGGGCTACAACCCACAGAGGGGAAGGAAGAGAGGTACCAGGTTGGGGCTCCCCCGGAGGGGATTTTGAGTCAGGTTTGGAGATGGGGATGTCCAAGAAGCGTCCCCTTAGGCCACCTAAAGGGAAAGTGTCTGTTTTGATCTCAGTGCTGAGGTGTGCAGGGAAGAGCAGTTCTGGTGTGTGTCCTGTCGCTTGTCTCTGGTGCACTCCTTGGTGTTTGGGTCTCTCGGTCCTTTCTTCTTGTAGAAAGCTCTCTCTCCCTGTCCTGTCCTCTCCTTTGTCACGTCCTGTTCTGTGTCACGGGTGTCTGCACGTATTTCTCCCAGAGCTGCTCTGCCCTGCTGCATAGCCTGTAATAGCACAAGTCCCGGGGACTTGAAATTTGTAATGCAGGGTGTAGTTGGGCTCTAGATTGTTTTAGGAGCTTGACATAACATGTTTGGTGCTGTTAAGTTGTCCTGCAGCCCTTTGACACTAGTCCTAACTTCTTTTCAGATGCAGACAGTTCAAATCAGTGGCAGAGGGCCGCAATCCTGGGGGAGGTTGTTGCCATGAGCAGGGTATTGTTTGTATTTGCAGGCAGAGCTGAAATGGTGACTGTGTTACAGCAGTGTTCTTTGCCTTTAATTTTAGCAGGTCCAGGCAGATAGCAGCAGTCAAGGCCAAGTGTCCAAGGTGAGCAGTGGACAGAAGCAGTTGTTTTTACTCGGCTTTCAGTTTTTGGTGCAACTGTAAGCATCCATCCTCATTTTTGTGCTTTAGGGAATCGGCTCGGAGTACGCATACCTCTGTCACCAACTGGCTGATGGACCAGGTTTCATGCACTTGTGATCTCGCTGGAAGTATTACAGGACCCTGTGACGGAGCCTTCCAATTTTGCATTTCAAGGTCTCATCTGGGTAGTCCCGAGGAATGGCCGAGGAATTGCAGTGAGTTGGGGAGGTAGGGAGGGGGAGTGAGAGTCCACTTGAGTTTCAGCAATGCCATGTCGCCTTGTCTCCATTTAACCTAGGTGTACCCTGCAATGATGGCATCAGAATCCAAGCAGACCTGAAGCGTGCAGGTCAAGAACCCTGGCATTCTGAGGAGAATGGTGAGTAGCAGAACTATCATGTTTTGTCCAATGTGCTGTTAAGACTGTGCACTGATGTTTGGTTTTCTTCCTGTTGGCAGACCAAGAGGTGACAGCTGGAACTTACCAGACAGGCAGACGGCGTCCTTCTGCAGCCAACAGGGATTTGCATCCCCAGAATGCATGCAAGATAAGTTGAGGGTTACGACCCACAGAGGGGATGGAAGTGGGGTGGTGGGTTGGGACTTTCTAGAAGGGGTTTTTGTGTCTGTTTTAGAGATGGGGATGTCCAAGAAGCATCTCCTATAGTCCACCTAAAGGGAAAGTGTTTCTTTTGATCTCAGTGCTGAGGTGCACAGGGCAGAGCAGTTCCGGTGTGTGTCCTGTCACTTGTGTCTGGTGCACTCTTGGTTGTTTGGGTCTCTTGGTCTTTGCAGACCTTCTTCTTGTGCAAACCTCTCTCTCCCTCTCCTGTCCTGTCGTTTGTCACGTCCTGTCCTGCATCACGGGTGCCTGCACGTATTTCTCCCGGAGCTGCTCTGCCCTGCTGCTTAGCCTGTAAT